TTTTTATTTTATTTTTATTTTTTTGCAGGAGTTCGTGGCTTTCCTCGTAGATAGCCCGGCTCCGTTCCAGAAGCGCTTTTCGGTAGTAACGCCTCCGGTGGGAGGCCTCTCCTGTTCCCTCTAGTGGCCAATCTTGACATTGCACGATGAAAACAAAAAAAGCACGGTTAGAAAAGCACAGGGCTAGTCCCGTTTAGGATTCAGAACAGAGAGGTACCTGGGGCAAGACTCCACCTCGAGTTGTCTCTCAAAGGCCCTTTTAAAAAGTCTTTCGAAAGTAACTAGAAAATGCTGCCTGTTACTCAAACAAAAGCAACTTTGTAACTGTATGTTATGTTGTGTACTTGAGTGTCAGTCTATCTAGGTAACTATGTTACTTAATGTATGACTCATAGTTACTAAGCTCTGGATGGGGAGAGGAAGGGCTGGCCCCCGTTTGTTCCATGCCCAGAACATCTGCAAGTTGACCTTCCCCCCAAAAAGGGTGTGTGTGTCAGGTGGTCAGCTTCTTCATCACAGCAAGCAAAGAATTGGAAAAGGGATGTTACCAGTAAGACCTCTACGAAAAGCCACAGTGGCTTCTCATAGCACAAGAGAGGACGAACTGTCCCACTCCCGATGTGTTTAAATGCAACTCCTGTCAAGTCTATTTTGTACAGCCAATGATCGGGTCATGCAACAGTCCTGCAACATCAAAGGTGATGGTGCAAAGTAAATGAATGTAGCCAGATGGTGTAGCTTTTTCCTATTTTGCTGTAGAATGCCCAGCCTTTCCCTGTGTCCCAGATAAATTAAGCATCAGAACCACTATGAATATTTTTTTCTTGAAATCATGGAAAATGGGTGAGGTGCCAGAGGATGGGAGGAGAGCCAGTGTTGCTCTTATCTTCAAAAAGGGCAAAAAAAGAGAGGAGCCTGGGAACTATAGACAGGCGATAGAAGGACCCAGCGTGACATCAGTCCCAGACAAGATTCTGGTCATTGTGCAAGCACCTAGAAAACAAGGCAGTAATAACTAGAAGCCAACATGGATTTGTCAAGAACAAATCCTGCCAAACTAATTTGACCAGGTAACCTCCGTGATAGACAGAGGGAATGCTGTAGACATAGTATATCTTGACTTCAGCAAAGCTTTTGAGGAAGTGCCCCATGATCTCCTGATTAGCAAGCTAACTAGGTGTGGGCTGGATAGATCAAGTGTCAGGTGCATACACAATTGGCTAAAGAATTGTACTCATAAGGTGATGATTAATGGGTCCTTCTCTAACTGGGAGGTCATAAGTGGAGCACCCCAAGGCTCAGTCCTGGGACAGGTGCTCTTCAATATTTTTATTAATGACTTGGTTGAGGGAGTGCAGGGAATGCTTGTCAGATCTGCAGATAATACAAAATTGGGCGGAATAGCTAATACCCTAGTAGACAGAAACAAAATTCAAAATGACCTTGATAGGATGGAGCACTGGGCCAAAAGCAACAGAATGAAATTCA